CCTCCGTAGTACTCGTCGGGATGGGTTTCTCAGTTATCTTCGATCTGGAGAAACAACAGATACGATTGGCAACTATCGCTATCGGCCAAACCACACACCTCACCCACTCAGCCCACTTTTTCGACGTGATGTTGTGGGCTATTGCGGTCGCATTGTCCACAAAAGCAGGGTCGCCGAGCCATGTTCGAGCCGCATACCTTTCATGGATAATTCTCAATTTGAATTTCAAGAAGAAGTAAGAAAGCAGTTGGACTCACGCGAATTTCGAAGACTCAATGAAGTGATGGTGAAGCAGATGAGCGCAACATCTTGAATGACTTCATGTCATACTCGTACCTAAACAGAATGTCCATTCAGAAGTAACATGGAGATACTACCTTCTCCCAATCCCACCCTTTCCCACCCGTCCATGACGTTTAAAATGGCTTGTGCTACAGCTGATCCAGAAGGTGGAGGAGGACCGCAGACCACTCGGCCATTCTTGAGGTTCGTATAAATAACGCCCGAGTGTGGAACCACTATCGATCGATACTCGGAGAAATCTGCTTCGGTAATTATCCCACCTGAAAGCGATGTTTGGTGAGGAAGGGAGGCAGAATCTAGAATGATTTTACCGTATTGTTCGAATTCCTTGGCCATTTCACGAGCCATTGCACCGTGGTAGAACTCCCGAACGGGATCCGAGGAGTTCGAGAGAAGGCGAAGTGTCCGCAGCAGCGATGTCCTCAAATCATTACTCTAGCAATTCAGGGTCCTGAACTGAAGAAGTCACAGCGATGAGACGTGAGCCCTAGGAAGGGCCAGCCTTTCTCTGATTGACTAGGCTTTTGCGCTACGAATTATCGCTGGGATCAGGCCGACAAGCATCATTTAGCCAAAACCATCAAGTGGGGAAGGGGCGAGGTATGGTATAGCTTTCTATACTTAGTTAGTCATTGGTCAGGGTGGTTTTCCCGGTCTTCATAGGGACTTTTCCAAGCGCGACGGAAACTTTTCGCTTGTTGACTTTGCCAGGTATTCTGGGACGTACTAAGGAATTTTGGTGGGGGGGGGGTCGCCTGAGAATGTCATTTCTCCCATCCAGTTGATTTCCGGTTTGCTGTATTAATAGGTTGCGTCCATACTTTGCGACAGCGTTCACCCGCGTCCACCATCACTAGCATTCCGAGCGTTCAGCAGCTTCAGCGACCAGGAAAGTATAGATATCGATCCAGCGACCAGCAGCGTCTACCAGCGTCCAACAGCGGCCAGCAGCTCCTAGAAGTTGAGAGTGTGGGGCGATAGGAGGTAACAGACAGCTGGTTCCCCTACCGCTCCCCTCCCTCCCTACCAGCTGTCTGCTACTCCCTATCGCGCCACCACATTCTACCGTCAGTCTGCTACCCTCCTATCTCTATCGCCCCATGCTCTCCACTGACGCTGCTGGTCGCTAGACTTCATATCTATACTTTCCTGATCGCTTATGATGGGACCCTCGGAGCAGTGTGGACATTGACAGACGCTGATGGACGCTGCCGCAAAGTATGAATGCAGCCATGCTTGGGACTGAAAAGAATGCGCGCGTAAAAAGGCCTCCTCTTTTAATTCTTTTTTTGTTTCCTCGTGGAGTCGCTATACCATGATTTCGGTTGGAGAAATATTTACCTGAATTCAGGCTGTGCTGTGTAGAACATTTCATGATCACCTGGTTCTTATCTGGTCGCCAACGCGGTAGACGTTTCCGGTCTCTGGATTCACGAACTCGCGCATTGTTGATTCGTTCACGATCAGCTCAGCTTTTCGCTCCAACGCTTTTGCCAAAGCGTGCGATGTTGGGAATCCTGAGAATGAAGTGATAACGAAGAAGTGCTTCGTTTAGGTGAAGACCCACCCTCTTCGAGCAGTTCGATTGTTGGCTGAATGAGATCGCTCCAGGAAACTTTTCTTGCTACCGTACTTCTCGAATTCCGTCCACAATCCATGCAGTTCACCTGGTACCGCAACAGCTCTCCAGCCTGAGAATGGAAGCGTCACAACTGCTTCGGCCAAGAACTGTTCAGCACAGATGAGCATTGGAGGAAAAGGTCGGCATGATGCTTGCACGCTTGTAGTGACGTGAAAACAGTCTATGCTAGTTTCAAACCTTTTTCTGGGTGCTTCTGGGGTCTTTCTAGTCTGTTTGATCTAATCAAACCATTCCCTCTGCAGGGGTTAGTGCTGAGTCAGGAAGATTCCAGTAGTGAAGCAAGCAATGAGAACAGCAGCTGCACAAAGAGCACGATTGGGCATAGTGCCACTCAAAACGGCAGCGGTGCTGCGCGTCGACTCTATCTTCCAAAGTCAACTCGTCGTGCGATAGCACGACTCTGGAGTAAGCCTGCACACCTGCAATTCCGAATA